CCGAATTAAATCTCTGGTCGTTCCCTGCCACATCCCCTATCGCCACCTCTTATTTGATGGAAAAAAAACCGTTTCATTGTCATGTTACCGACATCAATCCCGAAACGCGATCACCGAGAAAGACTGCTTATGAAATTCGCATTGACTTTCATGAGGCAACGACGTCTCCAAGTGTTGAACCATATGTCTATATATATATATATATATATATACACACGTATGTGTATGTATGTATACGCACTTTATACGTGTAATACGTATAAATATACAGAACGAGTCACGAATACTTATTATTTATACCTTAGACGTTGTACGGCTACGAGACGATTATTGAGAATACCTCTAATGATTTGTTTATTTACAATTAATAAAATTATAAAAGAGTGAATTTTAATTTTATATACGCCCCTCGTCGATCTGTTGTAAAAATATTTTAGCACGGACAATTATTTCGTATTTCTATTTAGCATTGCTAAAAGTGTATAGGTTTATTTTGATTTCATACAACACATACTAACAATAAGCACGTCGCATTTGCGTTTCAAAATGTTTAAGTGTTACAAATATTATAATTATAAATATAAAACAAATATACCATTATATAAATACTGAACAATATTGTTTGATACATTAAAACGTTTGATTTTTAGTATTTTTCATCGATATCAAAATGTATTCGCTTATTTTTTTCAAGTCTTATGCCGTACAAGCATTGGGCGAAACCTATTAAAAATTTAAGTTTTAAAAACTCGTAAATTATGTAGTATAGGTGTGATGTCTGCGTGTGACCAAAATACAATTCGGTACAGCAGCAGCCAACGATTTTTACATTCGGTATACTCGTGTAGTATACTCTCCGCGAATAAATATAGACATTTATCTATTGTGTTCGGCGTAATAGCCGACATATCATTCAGATAATTGACGAGGAAATACGTCTAGAAGAATTATGATTAGCTCACACAAGAACCATATTGGGTCCATCGTCCAAACTTGACCTCCGAGCCCCGTCACGTACTGTACGTTATTTCTCATTCCCACGTCACTTGTTGCGATAATTTATCAAAAACATAATATCTAATAAAGGTTTCGATTCATGTGCAACTGGGGGGTCAACACTTGTCCGAACACGGCCACGATCCTTACAAATCGCGCGTACGTATATACTACGCACCCATATACGCATGTCGTCTGTACAAGCCGTGGTCGAATTGAAAATCTATAAAAGTCTGCAGGCACTGCGCAAGATTCCAATTTATAATAGCGAAAGTCGTACGCACCGCTAGGAAGATTCGTCCCCCGACTGACCATCGTTGCACTTGTTTTTTTTTAAATAATCACATTAAACCGTGATTGACTGAATGCGGACCAAAAAATAATGAGCGTCGTTGCGACGATAATACATTTGACGAATCGTCCTTCAAATCAATACGAATTGTAAGAGTTATGCCTGAATTGAATAAGTACGCCGAGGAAAAGTTTCGTTCGGCCGTTGGATCTATCTGCGATCGGAGCACTGCATCAGCGTACGGTATTATTATGCGTACGACGTGTTTTTTTTTTTTTGGGGGGGGGGAGTTCTGCGCGTCGAAAACGACGTCACAAAGCGTCCGCTTTTGAAGTCGTGCTTCGATCTTATCTACGGACGGTAAAAGTCGATAAGATTGGCGATCGGCCGGACGTGCGATACAGCGCAGTGCGTCGTCGATAAAACGCGGTCCGCCCGTAGTGTACGGAGTTTTTCCGTACACAGACTTCGACCGATCGCGAAACGAACGCAAGCGCGTGCCGCGTGAACACGACACGTTGGATACGTATGGTTACCAGCTAGGAAGAACAAAAAAAAAAAAAACGCATTCTAAAACCGGTATTTCATTTGTTAATTTCGTATACGTTAAGCGTCTGGCTGCAGTGTAATAATATATTATATAGGCGCACGCACAGCGTTGCAATACGAGTCTAATACAATGGGGCTGGTTGTAAATATATTGCATACTTATAAATATATATCTGGACGAAACATCGGTTGCGAGCGCGCGGCAGTTGCGTACTAAATGCGGATCGAGCGTTTTGCGTTCGGTCGAGTGAAAAAAGACGGCGGAAAAAAAAAAAACCGCTCGTCTGAAAAGTCGTCCAGGAGATGGGTCGTCGTCGCTGCGGGGCTTTGTACACGGTGTACGTGCTGCATTTCTACCGCGCTATGGTGAATTGGTCACCGCTTAGGTTTTCATTTCAAATCTATCGTTACCCGACTGCGGACGGGTCATCATTAGTGGCTCGGTAAATTATACGGTCCCATACTCGTATCTCACTAGTCTCGTGCAATCGGGTACGCTTAACAAAACGAGTAGCTGGTTAGTGGTGTTCGGTAACAGAACGATAAAATTGCTGGTCGAAAATAATGGTCGTTTACTTCCTTCGTTACGGCAGTTATTCGAACAGAACTTTGTCGACTCGAACCCGGAAAAAGTCGATTTTCGAACAATTAATGGACGAGTCATAGGAAAAACCTACTGACGAACTACTACGAACCATAATATTCGATATACGATTTAAAAATAATACTTATAAACGTATTATATTCATGCGTTGAAACCTAAATAAATTAAGTATTTTCATTTGTAGTTAAAACGATTTAGCTTATGTTGGCTAATATGAATATAATTTATTATTAGGAAACGTAATCATGCGAGTACTGGTAACCTACGAATGAGCGTGCATATTCTAAGGTGTTTCTCTAAAGCAGGGGTCGGCAAGTAATTTACATTGGAGTCCTAAAGATTAAAATAATAAATTAATGAGATCCAGTGAAAAAATTTTTTTTCAAATCTTTATATTTTAAAAATATCAATCTAAAAATAAAAATAATTATTTAGTTCAGTGGTCGGCAACCTTTTGAATCACGCGGGCCATAATTTTTTTCAAATGTTTATCAAGGGCCACATTAAAAATAAATGTTTACATATGATATATACTAATAATTGGATTGCTATTATATTTGATTATTTTACATAGAAATATGAATGCAAAAAGTACGAATGTTACTGAAAAAAATTTAATTTTTTGACAAATTAAACATACTGGCTTACCTTTGTTTTCGATGAAAAAGTATAAATAAACCCAAGAATTATTAAATAAACACAAATTTTTCTTTTTTTAGTCGCCATAATGTTTGGATTTACTTGTAAAATGAAACTATTACAAACGCAAACAGTCACACGTACTGGCGTAATCACAGTGTAATATTAATTGCCACAAACGCAAAGTAACTATGACCATAGATTGAATATATTAGATACATATGTATTAAATACATAGATTAAATATATTTAAAATTTTAATTTTTAAATATATATAAGTATATTTAATATATCCTATGACTGAGTAGTGCAACATTATTTTCGACTCCGATTAGATAATAATAACAATTTTGTTTATAAAGAAAAAGAATTAAATAGTGTTGAAAATTGTATGAAAAATGTATTGAACAAAAATAAAACACAAAAATTAACCACCTTTGTGCGGACCATAAAAATTACTTCGTGAGCCGCGGGTTGCCGACCCCTGATTTAATTATTACAATTAATTTATATTAAAAATTACAATATTAGAGGTATGAAAATAAAAGTTGACAGGGTCCAAAGTATTGCCTTCCGCTAGCAGCCGACTCTTATATATATATATATATATACTATATAAAGTCATACCTAAAAGCTTGCAATTGCTTCGCAAGTTTCGAATGAAACTGGTGTAACTGTTAAAATTTGTACTTAAACTTCCGGCACCTTCCGCTTCTAGACGTACATACGAACTATTTTATTCATGACAGATGATAAATCACAATTTTGTTAAAAATACATTTTTTTTTTTTTAACAAATACATTTTCTACGATTGTAGATGGATCGATTACTTTTGAAAGGAGTCAATAGTCGTACGATAGTTTATTTTTTTACGGTGTTCCGAACATTTTGTACGCGGAACAGTGCCAAATACCGTAATCACCTAGTTCACGAGAATAATAATAAAAAAAAATGGAACATTTGATAAACGCAGCTGTTAGTTTTCCCTAGAGATCAACGATGATAACGAAACAACAACGGTCGATGAAATGGTGTTCTATGTGTATTTAGTGCATATAACTGGAGCGCACAAGAATCGAGAATATTTTTAATGATTTTTTTCCCGAGCGAAATCTGTTTGTACGAGAAACACGCTGATTTTTCGTATCCCGACGGTTGAACTCTTCGGACGAAACCGAATCAACGACACGTATGTCTCACTGATGATCACTAGAGGTGCACCACGAGCGTACGTTATTACACACGCGCAGTCGTCGGCCAACACGCGCAGACGGATCCGGAGGAACCGTCGTTTATTTATGCGCATATTTATTACACGGCGCTGGTGCGCGTATATTATATTCGTACCCGCTGATCGGACACCGACCCGTTAATAACGATTATTACAATTCTAATACCGCGTCGCGTGTAAAACGGCAATATTCCGCGCGCGCGATGTCGTACACAATAATAATATTAATAATAATAATAATGATAATTACTATAGTAATATATTACAGTTGCAGGCAGTGGCGTATTTAGGAATTTTTCATGGGAAGGGTCCAGATAATTTTCAGAATACAAAGCCGTGGGGGTCTTTGCCCTCCCATACCCCCCCAATTACTCTTTATTACATAAATATACCATATTTATAATACAATTTACAATTTAGTTGAAACTTTGTCATTTTTGTTCACATTTTCATTCTTTATATATTTAAATGTCAAATACCGCCAAGCAAATTTCATAAGGCACCCAGTAGCATAAATACCATAGTCCATCCAAATTCCACATATTATATAGTATACAATATAAAACATAAGTAGAAGCATTTAGCAAAATATACAACTATGGTCTATGAGGAAAGCAAGCTTAACAACTATAGATTTCAATTATATAATCAAGATAATAATAAATTCAGATTTTAAACAGTAACATACCTGAGAATTTAATTTCTTATTCAAACTTTGCTCACCGTCTTCGTCGATAGACCTTTTCAGATTTAAAGTCTCGGCAGTCTCGCTAGGGGTCTCATTACTACAAGTGGACTCTGTAGACCGAATTGCAGTGAAAAAAGTTGTTATTTTAGGTGTGTTGTTCATTTTGAATTTTTGAAAGATTAATTAAACAAAAAACAACACAGCGAAGTTTCGAATTCGAACGGTTTTGAAGATCATGTAATGCATAATCATAAATAAGAAAAACCGTCCGTCATCATTGTTATCTACCAGCTACCGCTATCATTTAATTTAATTTGATAAAAGCAGAGCGTTTGTTTAATAACCAAGAACTCGGTATTTTTCAACCATGTTTGGTTCCAAACTGATAACGAAAAATCGTGATAACAATTGAAAATGTTGATAATACTGACGCTTCGAAATTTTTTTACAAAATTGTTCATATCGACATATGTCATATCCTATGATATAATTTGTTTTTATTAAACATATAAAATCACAAACATTTACATGTACGAGACACGAGTCAATGGGGGGGGGAGTCCGGACCCCTTGGACCCCCCCGTAAATACGCCACTGGTTGCAGGCGGTTTGCGCAGCGACGACGACGGTCTCCACGAAAAGCGCGCGCGCTACATCCTACAATATCATTATGTTATCTTCATTACAATATTATACGCGTTGTCATACGTGTACACAGAATGTTCGAATGTCGTTCGGTGGTTTTATTCATTTTTTGATTTTCCGTCCGTCGACACGAACGGCTACGGTCGAAAACCCTTCGATCGGATCGCGGCGCTATGGTATCGCGTAGAACTGCGTTTTCACCGCAGCCGAAGGCTCGTGATGCGTTCGAATGTTATCGTCGAGAAAACGAATATTTAACGCGAAAACCGAGGTACCGTTTCCTCGTGCAGCGGCCACGCTATTCCGTTTCGGGTCTTTTTGAAACTTCGAAGTCCGTTCGCCGTTAATAAATGACATCGTTTCAGCGGCGTGCGCACAGTCGTACGTCCGTTGTTCAGATATCTGTTGATAATATATATCAACCCCACTAACGGTGTAACATTGTAAATGATTAATTTCACACTATTTCACGCACAAAACATGAAAACTAATGAAATCGGTAGATTTTTGAAACGATTAAATTCTTACCCGTCTCGAGCTTTCCAAACCGGTCCGTCAAGTTTACTGACATTTCGTCAACATTATTCCGAATTTGAAAAAAAAAAAATGTGCGATCTCAATATTAAACCTCAGTTACTTATGCGAATGGACGTGTTTTCGAAAACGAAATATGCGCCAAATGTAAGCGTAGAACAAAGTGGTTCGACAAACTTTACAAACGACGCTGTTGATTGGAACAACAGAGCTTGACATTTTGAAATACAAACGATTCCTAACTCCTCGTTAAGTGACTTGCTCATATCTCGAGAAAACGAAAATCGAACGAAGGACGTAAAAAATCAATATACATTTTTTTTTTAAATCAAAATAAATCTCATCCGTTCTTCGGTTTTTCCGTTGCTCTAAAAAAGATGTTGTCCCGCCGTAAAAAATATCGGAGACCCCCAAGGTCGATCGCCATCGACCCGCGACAATTGTGCAACCATTTCGAATCGCATCCGTGTAACGTTGTTTGTTTCCCTTTCGTTTTTCAGACGCTTCTTGTTCGAACGAGGCTGTGCACTTGCAGCAGCGGTTGCGAAGCCTGAGCACCGAGCTGGTCACGCTCCGGAACAGCCTGAGCCATCCGGTTCAAGGAGCGGCACCCGGCGGCCAGGGCTGTCCGCAACCGGCGTCAGTCAAACAGTCACCCGGATCGAATTTCACCGGCAACGCCAACACCAACACTAACACCAACAACAACAACAACAGCAACAGTAGCAGCAACAACAACAACAACTGCAGCAGCAGCAACAACAATAACAACAACATACTGGCAGTCGGAAAATCCACGTCCAGCAGCCCGTCAAAATCGACCTTACCGCCCCCGGTGTTACCGAGGACTTCGTTACCCGCTTTACCCGTTACAGGTAATGCCACTGACGTATAAAATCTACGTTTATACAATTTATCGTAAACACTTACGCGCTGACACTTTCGACTCCCACGCACAGGACTTATTCTAAGGATTTTTACCTACTGCGTAAATACACTGAAAAATTTGTTTGATGAAATTTGTTTGGATTATAATACTTACCCCCTCTACAAATAAATTGTTTATTGATATTTTAGAATTTTGACCATTACGCGGATCTTTTCCGTTATACGTATATCACTATTTAAATTTAAATTTCATAGATTAATCAATCATCGAAATAGCAAATATTGTTAACTTACATAATTATTACTTATTAGGTACTAAATAAGGTTCATAAATTACACAAATTTCAAATACTCAATAGAAATTCAATCATTCTACGAGGAAAATTAGGTGCCCATATTCATATATAATCAATCACCCTTTTGATTTTTCTTACTACCCAATTTGGGTAGTACTTCCCATTAGAATAAGACCTACCCACATGCACATATCGCGCACGTTTCCCCATGCCGAACAACAAATTCGCGAGACGTTTCGAGCAAATTGTTATCGAACCGTCCCCGAAAACTGGGTACGTGCGTTCAGGCGCGGATTGAAGGGAGCGAAACGCAGGAAACGCACGACATGATTATGTTAATTTTGATCAGAGTAAGAGGTGTGTGAGACATGTTGTCAGCCCCTCCACCCCTATGAATTTTCGATTTTGGAGAGGAATGAATGTTGTGCTAATTCCGAGATTGGTCTTGCGAATTCATGCAAATTGCGTGCTAATTATTTGCATAATTTTTTTTAGATTTTTTACTGGGGGGGGGGCAAGATGTACATATCAATAGTGTGTATACAATATATTATATATATATATATTAATATAGTGATCTGTGAAAGAAAATAAACACTGTATAAAACATCTAGTGATCAGTTTACCTTCAAATAGTACAACACACTGAATATTTTTACACATACCTAGTCATTATGTACAATGAAAAACAGATTTTAACTACTTACGGTTATCATCAAATTTTAATTTAGTTAATGTGTTAACATACAAATTCAATGTTATGACTTTTTTTAAGTAAAATTCAAATAATTTAGATAAAATTAAATATCATGACATATCAATATTTTACGAAAATAATCATGTTAATATATTTCTATTTCATGTTTTGTTTCGATTTTATGTCATACATTATAGTATTTTTCGCTATCATGTGATGATTTATTAATTACTCAAGTATAATATCAATTTTGGATTCAAGTTATCACATTTTCTCTTGATAAAAAATGTCAAAACACAAGACCGATGCACGAATATATTATAATATAATATGCCCACTAATAAACGGAGTTATTTAGCGTCACATACTTTTTTTGAAATTAATTTTCTTGTGCACACGTTGTAATATTATATTTATGTTGTAATTCGATGATTATTTTGGTGCTTTGAGTAAAAAATCGATACCAAATACTGGAAGAATTTTTCAATTCAACATTAGATCAACCGAAAAATAGTATATAGTAGGTTAGGTACTTAAAAAAATAAATATCAAACAGGTTGCAGGTCGAATCGGCATTTCAGTTGGTCCGATTTTATGTAATATCATCTGCATATAGATGGGTTAGTGTAATAATGTTGAGTATATTCGATATTAATTTTCTTCGATAAATGTCAGGTTATAAAATTTTATAATATTTTAATAACATAATGATTATTGGTTGTATCAATATAAAATACTTACAGAACGTGTTACGTGTGATTTGCAGTTGTACGAAATTTTCCGAAAACAAAAACCCAAAAATGCTTCATTTACTTTTAACTAGTGGTGATTATGTGTTCAATTTTACGGAAAAAAAATGAAATTCCCTTATATGAATGTTGTATTGCGAGAGAAAATAATGAACAGATCCGCAAACTAATAATCGGAGTTAAAACATAATTGTTTGAACTTAGTTATTGTTTCTTATAAACGAATCACGTAAATCATCGCTTGAATGCACTGCATCCGTTACGCTTACTATTTTTTCTACGCGCAGCACACCCCGGTCGACGATTTATTTATTTATTTATTTATTTACGTTTATTTATTTTATTTTACCAATGGGTAAAGGCTTCAAACGCGTGCATTTTCAGCCTTCGACCGATATACGTTTATCGTTTATCGATATACGATGCGGAAAAATTGGACGGAATTTTAATGGTGTTTTCTTCGTATTTTCGCTTGGCGGAGTGCGAGTGGGTTGTTGACGCTCTCGCGGGCTTCCCCGTAAACCCGTGGATGACTTTATGTTATTATTTCGATACGATCACCACCGTGAACCGGTGCTTGGTTCCGTTTTTGATGAGATTTCTGTTATTTTTTTCGATGTTTTATAAAAGTTCAAAGTTACGATAAGACTCGTATGATTTAAACCGCTGTTTCACTGTTATGATTATATTTTGACTTTTTGTTAAACGTGAAATACTGATTGCATTTATTATTATATTTTTAAAATAATTACAAAATCGCATTTTGGAAAACATTTTTATTTAGTTCTTCGGATTTATACATTACCTTTAAGTCGACATTTAAGATGGTATCCGGCCAAAATAGAGAAACAATAACGGCGAATGTAAAAATCGCGAATTAATTATAGCGAAAATAAATTACTTTCGCTCTTTTTTAAAATTCCCTGTTTTTATTTTCGCTATAATTAATTAGCGATTATTACATTCGCCGTTATTGTTTCGCTATTTTGGCCTAGATCCATTTAAGATGCATTGCAGGTTATATTATACAGTGGTGGTGCTAATTCTACGAACGTATACTTATAAAAAGAAAAATATCGATAATTTTTATAAAATTTCTACTGTTTGATATATTTTCATAAGAGGACGTCACAATGGCATGTGTTGTCTCCGTCTTAAAAACGTGCAACATAGCAAATCTGCGTTCAGTAGAAGTTCATTATCACAGCAAACTTTAGTTTATTATCGAACTTACGAGATTAAAACATTATCCGAATCGACGGTTGCAGAAACGTCACGATTCACATATCTTATGAAAT